CTACTGAAAAAAATTACTTAAAATTTTTGCCTTTTATAATTCAGTAACTCCCCCCCCCCATACCCTAAATTACAGGATTTTCACAAAGGGTGGCATTGAAAATTTTTCTGCTCCTTAGGGGGGGCGGCAGCTTCAAAAAGGTTGAGAATCACTGTTCTAGAGTCTTCCATGGCATTATTTTCTCAGGAGATTGGCAACTGTCTTCTAAATATATGGATATATGAATTTAGTTGTGAGATGTAGGGATCCCCTGTCTTGGGAAACGGTAGGTATGGATTGGGGGGGTTGGAGTCTCAGGGGGGTTAGGGGCAGGTCAGAACATCTTCGTGGTGACAGGCATGGGGAAGTATGGCAGGAGACAGGGGGTGGGCCGTTCTTGGGGAACACAATCATGGTATCTTGTTCTGGTTTCTCGTTCAAGCCCCCGGAACTCAACTTCATTTCCTGATCAGCAGACCCTCAGACACCCTGGTTTTTGGCTGTTCAGTCTGTAATAAAGCCTCCCTCCTTTATGATTTAATCACGGATAAGAGGTCTGACTTGGCGTGTATTGCTGAGATCTGGCTGGGTCTGGAAGAGGAAGCCCCCCCTCTCAGAACTGTGCCCATTCGGTTGATCCTGATGCGGAATCTGCCAAGGGGTGGGAGAGTGACGATGCAGTTTTGGGTGCAGTGGGAATGCAGTAGCGCACGCAGTGTTGGTGCCCTTAGGTGCCCCCACGTTATACCTCTATTGCATAGAGGTAGAGTACTGGTCCAAAATTGCTGAAATATCATCAACATACAGAAATAACTTGTACTCACAAGATTGCCTTACCGTGGTGGCCAAAAATTCAAGGATCAAATTAAATAGCAAGGGTGAAAATGGGCAGCCCTCCTGAGTGCCACATTGTAACTCAAAAGTCTGAAATCATTTGATTTGTTATAACTTCCATTGAACAAAGTCTCATGGAAAACCATATGTAATCACCTCTCGCTTTAAGAATTTAATCTGAACCAATTCAAAGACTTTTTTTGCATCTAACGATATTAATTATTAATCAATCAATCAATTAATTAATTAGTTCCTTGGCTATATCCAATATATCAATCACTAACCATAAATTATCTGATACTGGACAATTTTTGATAATTGACTGGGAAAGACGAATTATACATAGTAAGAGCTTCTGCAACAGTCTAGCCAGTATGGTTGCTGAGGTCTTAGTATCCACGTTAATTAATGAAATAGGCCTATAACTGATACAAAAATTAGGATCCTTATCTAGTCTTAAAATCAGCCTTGTATATGCCTCGTAAAATGATGGCGGCAACTTACCATCCTTAAAAGATTAATTACACATTGCCAGCATTTTAGAACCCATCAAACCTGCAAATGCCTTTTCCCAGTCCACAGAAAAGCTGTCTCGGCCAGGAATTTTACTTTCCTCTTTCATGTCTGACACTTCTGTGGAGCAATGGATTGGCCAGTAGAGGCGCAAGAGGCAGCAAGGTTGAGAAAGCCAGTGAGGGAGCCCCATGTGCATAGCGCGCTTGCTTACCCCACTCCAACGTCTCCTGTGTTCTGCATCATGATGCGCCGAGAAGCCTGGCTCCGCAGCACCACAGCTCCAAAAGGGATATGATCCTGGTCCAGGTGGACTTCAATGCCCTGACAGCAGCCTTGCACAATAAAGATGGAGCGCAGGAGCCCTTGGCATTCAAGCAGAACCTCCTCTGAGAATGGCAGGATACGGCTCTTTGGGCTGAAGGTCACCTCCACGTGACAGGTGCCTCCCTGGGGCTTCAAGGTAATTTCGCCATATGGAGACATAGTGAGTACCTGTCCAAAGAGTGGAAAAGGTCCTACACAACGCAGGACACTCCTCTCCTGCAAAGATTCATGACTAGTCAATCTTGAGTCCAGCAGGTCCACAGGACAGGCAGAGGTTAAACTGTGCTGGCTTTTACAGTGGGTCTTCCTCAGGATTCATGGAAAATGGTCTGGCTCCAAACAAGTCCCACTTAAGGACCGTCCTGAGTTTAAGCTCTGTTGCTATGCAAGAGACCAGGAGGCCCACCAGGCACTCCTCATCCAGTCTCCTTCCTCCTTTTCCCACAGAACGTGGGGGTGGGATTGTTGCAACAGCGAAGCTTTCAGCACAGATTTTACTCAATGTGCAGCAGGCAGGAGAAGTCAGAGGGGAGGGTCAGCCAGGATGCTTTGGGGAGGGACAGAGGAAGCGTCGGCAGTAATTTTCTGCTGCTTCCCAGACTGGGCTCAGCCAATAGCATCTGCACCCTGTGCCTTTTGGTCTCCAGCTCTGCCTGCTGCCCCTCCAGCCCCTGCCCTCACTCTGCTTGAAGGAAGAGGAAAAACCAGGCTCCAGGAGGGCCCAGGCTGTGTGCTATACAATAAGGTCTGGGTGGAAACCACCCTCATTCCTGCAATAATGGCCAGAGAGAGGTAGGCAGTCAACACCTTGCTCAACCCTCAGCATTCCCAGTGAAGAGACAGTTTGATCTCCCTGCCTGCAACCGCTTCTGGCCTTGGTGCTGCACAGCGGTAAGTGAGAGCTTTGGGGCAACCCAGGGACTCGATCCTGCTCACACTGTCTCTGGTTTCTTCCCTCACCATAAAACCTGCCCAGGGAGAGGGGAATTATGTCTTTCATCTGGCAGCCTCTATTTCCTGGCCGTGTCTCCCTGCTCTAACCGCAGGAGTAGCCAGTTGAATCTCATGGGGCAGGAGCTGCTCGCCCTCCCTAGGCCAGGCAAGACCCCCTCCCCAAAGATGGAGAGGCAGGAGGGAGAAGTCCTACCTTTGCTTCCTGCAACTCTGGAACAGAGGCCACAAAACTCAGGCTGAATGTGACAAAGGTAACACTGTTGTTCATTAGGGTGACTCCCTTCTTCACAATGTGCCCTGGAGGGACAGCTCCAAATTTCAGCACTTTCTGGGGAGGTTCCACAACATCTATCTGTGGGCAGGAAACAGACACCATCAGGACGAAGGAAGAGAAGAAGTGGAATGGGTCACAGGCCAATGGCCCCATGTCAGTGGGATAAGAAAGAAATGGGAGGAAATTGGAGGACAGAGTACTGACACCAGGGAGGAGAGGGCTCAGTGGGATCCCTGTCCTGTGCTTCTGCATGTCATGGTCAAGGTGGGGACAGGCCTCCAAGCCTTGGGGGAAACAGCCCTAGGTGAGTGTCCTGATGCTCTGATTTGGAGCAGCTCTTCCTCTGTTCTTTAGAAAATGGCAGCATTTTCTGAATCATCACAGCACAATATAAGCAATGCTCTGAAAAAGCTAGAAAAGTTCCAAACGTTGGTGCTTTGAGGCTGGCCAGATTGCTCAGAAGCAATTGCAAATTGTTGTTCAGAAATCGCAAGTCTCCCTTCTTTTTCCAGATAAACACAATTTCAAGCTCCATACACCTTTCTCTGGCCTGAAATGTCTTGGAGCCACTGCCTCTCCTTCCCTGCTATTTCATTTGCACAGTCCTGGTACTCAAAGTTGGTCCAGATCCAGCCATCTTCTCTCCAGCATAAGCAGGAATTAAGCCACCTCCCTTTCTCCCCACCAACACCACTTTCAAATCATGAATGTGCAATCCCTTTTCCATTATGTGCATACCAGATCAGGACCATCTTAGCGCCCCTCCTTTATCTTTGGTGAAAGCAGCGGGGTGAGAAGCAGCCCCTAAAAATTTAGTTCCTTGCTTTCAATTCAGATTTCTCAAAGCAAAGGACAAGATACAAAGCTGCAGGAGCAACTGGCAGGAGGTGCTGAACCACTTGCCTACAGAAGCACCCTGAGCAGCAGGCGGCAAGGTCACAAACCCCACGTCTCCCTCTGCATCTCTTCTTTCTCCTAGCTCAGTACAGCTTCTAGGAGCCTGCCCAATCTCACCTTCATCTCAATGCCCTTCCCAAAGATCTCTACGGTCCGCTGTAAGAGCCCATTTATTTCAAAGGTGATGATTTCATGGTAGGAAATGGCTTCTCGGGGATAGAAGCTGATTGGAATCTCCACCTTTCCTCCAGGACTCAGTACTTCAGAATGGAGACCAATCTCAAGGTAAGCTGTGTTGGTGAACAAGCACTCCACGCTGTGAAGAGGTGAGAAAAAGATGGTTAGTTAGTTTTGCAAATTGTATTGGCAACACCTGACTTCCTGGGCTTGCCAATAGAGTTTGCCAAACTAACCAATCTAAATAAACTAATATTTAACCCCATATGTGTTAAAACTAGGTTTATTTCCCCAGAAGTGATTTTTCCTGCATTATAAAAGACTTCAAAATCTCACTGACCCCTCCCCAAGTTAATAAACCTAAGAGGCTTTAGACTGATTCCAAGAGGAGGGAGGGGTTGAGAACGTGGAAGGGTGAAGAGTGTGTCAGCCTGAGTCCTGGCACCAGCAGCAGTGGAAGGAAGACCCAGCACTTTCCCATCTTGCAAGATGTTTTCGGCAGCTCCAAGGATCTGGAGGCATAAGAGCTGAAGCTGGTGCAGTGATGGCACCGATTTGCACCTTGAGACTGCCATTTGGGAAACAAGAACTTTGAGGGGGAGAAAGCTGATGGAAGGAGGGCCTGAACCTTGGGATGGGCAAGACTCCTGGTTGCTGTTACATCGAGAACTGTTTATATGTTGACTTCCTAGTTAATTCTCTGCAACAAAACTGCCCTGTGTTTGCATGGGAATGCTGAGCAGAAGAATGTAAGGGAGTCTCTAGTTCATCCTCGACAGGCATTCTCCTCACGCAGCAACCTACTGTTTCATCCCACCAGTTCTTCCCTGAAAAGGCTTCCAGGGATCTCAATCTCCGTTCTTTCTGCCTCTGCCAATCTCTTTTCCTAGCCGCATCCCCTTCTCTGGATGTGTTCTCCCCTTACTAGCTTTGTCTCAGTCAGCCCACCATCCTTCTCCATATTTATTGATCTGTTTGTTCATTAGATTATAACCATCTTTCCTCCAAGAACTCAAGGCAGCTCCCTCAGTTTTTTTCTTCACAACCATCCTGTGAAGTAGGTTGGGCTGAGAGAGAGAAACTTGTTCAGTGACACCCAGTCAGTATCCATTCCTGAGGTGGAATGAATCTTGAACATCACCCTCCCTGGGCCTAGCCCAGCACCTTCACTGCATCACATTGTTAAGGAGTCTCATTGTAGTGAGGGGCACTATCTTGACAGGCCTTTGGGGAACCAACATTCTGGGGTAGAAAACTAAAGCATTCTGGACTGGAGAGTTTGGGAGAGCCAAAGGGAAGGAGGTACTGAGTGAGGCAGACTGCAAAATTGCAGTCAGGGCATAGCAAGAGTCTTGAACTCCAGGACAAGAAGAGCAATGCTGCACATAGAGGGCAGACTGGCTATTCCAGCCATAACCAGAAGCAAGGAAGAGATGTCTGCTGGAAATCTTATTCCCCCTGAAGTGCTGCTGCATTGAAGAGCCAGACCCATTTTTTCTGGAGGCATTGGGGGAGGGTTGGAGATCAGCAAAGCAAGTAAGTGAACACTGCTTAGGGTCTCCCTGTTCATCAGAGTAGTCCAGGGCTCATTCTTCAGAGTCAAGGTAGCCTTATATTTCATACTAAAGGTCTCCAGCAAAAACAACCAGCCCAGAAGGACCAAGGATGGCTCTGATCCTTCTTCAGAGTTACCATCCCTGGATACTTTAGTTTCCAAATGTTCTCAGATGACAGACCACAAATGGCAGGATGGGGATACAACGGAGAGATGCAGAAAGCAGCACTTTTGCATAGGTTGGTTCCCCCCTGCCTAACCCCACTACTTTGCAGGTGCAACTGAAGCAGAGAGTGTCCATCCTTACCAGAAGACAATCTAGGAGAAATGTTAAATATCCACAAGTCAGGCAGCAAAAAGGCTAGCCAGCCTCTGGGGTTTAGGCTGCAGCACCAGCAGCAGATCTTCTAATTCCAGCCCCTGGGAAACTGTTTCTGGATTGTCTGCCTCTGGGAAAGAGGCTTAATATAAATTCAAAGTATTCCTCCCCCTTCAGCACAGCTCAGGTGCTCCAAGAAAAACTCCAAAGTGCTCCTGGGCAATTCTGCAGCTCACCTGGCTTTCTTGCCATCTTTATTAGTGACCACCAAGGTTCTCTTGGAAATGGGCATCCCGGCTTGGTAGATGAAACAATTGCCAAAGTCCACTTTGAGGGGTGAGAAATGGATGCTGGGAGCCGACACTGAGCCTTGCAACACACACGTGAACGTGGGGCCATGGCTTATCTGTGAAATAAGGGAGGCAGAGTCTTATCAGAGCAGACAGCACTGAAGTTATATTCAGCTAAGGCCCGTACACAATTACTCTTTGGTGTCCAGCTAGGACCTTATTCTTCCTTTACTCCTCTGGAAAGGGTTCAATCCAAATTCCTAAGAGCCATATTTCAGGTACCCCCCTGCACTTCAAATGTAGTATTAAGGAGGGAGGCAGGGCTACCCAAAATTGAAACAGGTGCATGGATCTGTATTGTAGCACATTGGCTGAAACTAT